TTCACACATGACAACTAAGAACAACAATAACAACATTGCTATAAATATTATAGTTTATGATTTTATAAAAAATAAGCATTTTGATAAAATTATAAAGCCTATTCTTTTATGGGAAACATGTCTTTCAATAAAATGTTGAACTCATGACTGATATAATGCCACTTACTTCCCTGGATTACATTACAGGGTTACTTCAATTAGTATTTTTCCATTCTGACCTATTTATCCTAGAACATAAGTGACATTGAGTGGAAAATTCAAATTTATATTTATCTCAAACAATTAATGGGTCTCTCAAGATCCCACAATGAAGGCTACCATTAAAAAAGAATAAACCAATTTAGATTTTGCATCTTCTCTTTTACTCTGTCTGATGTTTAATGTCAAGTGGAAGACTTTACAGAACAATGTTGAAAGGAACAGAAATAAAGGATTAATAATACACAAGGACAATAAAATAATCAGTAATCAAGAGAACTGCTGAAGGCTTTGAAATTCCAAATGTGTGGCTTTAGTATTTAAGATTCTAATTTTTAAAAAATTAATCAGTCAGTTCTCATACTTTAAAGCTTATGTTGTAAGCTTCCCTTGAAAAATGAGAAATTAGTTACTTGAGATATTCATACCTAATGAAGCTTTCATTTTTAAGATAAATAAAGGATCGTACAGTGTGATCAAATGGTCATGTGTCCAGGTACAAGTGCAAATAATCATGAGCCCAAATGCTCCATAGTCCTTTCTTAGCTTTGTGGCCTTGACAACCTTCCCATGTCTATAAAATTGAAACATAAAAGACCCTAGATCATAAGCTTGTTTTAAGAATTAAATGAGAAATTGCATGTCAGGCATTTAGAGCAGTGCCTGTATCTTGGTAACCATTCAATCATTATTGCTATTAAAATGGATTGTATTGTACCACTAACACATATTCTGCAGTTTGATTACTCTGATGGAGAATAAAGCTATTGTTGTAATAAGTTGTAAAAATTGCATGACTTCGTATGATTTCGGGAGCTGTTTCCTGCTTTGCTAAACATCTTTCAAATCATTACTGTGAGGAATAGAAGATATAGGGCCACATGATTATGAAGAGCAAAAGATGCCTCTTAAAGCAATGGAAATAATTTATTACTTATTCAAATGCAAACTCACACTCTGAAATTAGGAATGGGATGTAACATATCTCTTTTAAATATTCATAGGCAATAAAAACTCTGGCTGTTTGATTGATTTAACAGGCAATTGAATGCTACCTTCACTCTGCATAATTGCAGCTATAAGAAGCATTACATAGGCAATAAAAAAAAAAAAAAACACAAACCTCTGACATAGGCATTTAATGGAGAAGAAAATGGGTTAAGGCTTATCTTCCAGTGAAAGGGTATTTTGTTTATTAATGGAAAAATTGGTTTTATTTGGTGAACATAAAGAAATCAAGAAAATTACAGCTTAAAATAAATTCAGAATTCTTTTTGACTGTAATACTCTAATGTACAGCATGGATTTTTTTTTTGAAAATTAAAAATTGATTTAAAATGCCTATTACTGTAATTGTTTTCTTTTCCCCAGTCCCTCAGACAATTTATTCCAAAGCGCCATCTACATTGCATCAAACACCAGTCTTTTCAATTAAATATTCAGTGGAAACATCTAGAGGATTGATTAACTAACAAATTATTATGTGTTTCTCTTCTACCTAACTAGTTCGGAATTTATCAAAGTGTCGGACTTATAACCTAAGAAATAGGAAAGCCTTGTACTTGCCAGCCTTTTAACTCCACATCATATCTTAAAAGTCACAACAGCTTATTAAAGAATGGCACAACAGAATTCAAGAAGGATATTATTTCTGACATAATGTGGTCTTCATCTAAGCCTTAAAACACCAAATAGACTTTATTTTCATTGCCAAATAACTCTCAGGTTATTATTTGCAAAATATATAAGCACAGCCAGGACTGGAAGTGGTTTTAAGTTTATTTACTTCAAGTTTATTTATTATTACTATAAATTATGTGTTCTGCTTAATTAATTATTGAAGTGGAGAATCCCTTTGAATGACTAATATGTAGAGACCGATGAAAATTTATTTTTATCAATATTCTGCACTTTTTAAAATTAATGGCTGTGCATACATTTCATTTTTCATAATGGACTATACATGTTTGTTTGCTTACCCTTCCTCGTGGTGGAACACACACAAATTAGCATACCTTTTAGGAAAGACATGCTAGCATATAAAGTAGTTAAAATAAAAATTCTAATTATTTACTGAATACAAATTTGTTTCTGGCACCATCTTGTATTTTTCTCACAAGAACCCTATAAAACAAGAATCTTTTATCCCACATGAAGAAACAGAAGTTACAAATGTTCTTAATGATCCTATAGCCCATACGGGAGCTCTGGTAGCATAGTGGCTAAGGCACTTGACTGCTAACCAGAAGGCTGGCGGTTCAAACCCACCAGCCACTCCTC